TATATATATATATATATATATATATACCGAACGATACGCCAAAACATACTGCTCGGTATACTGCACCGTACCGAGCTGAACTCGATACTCTGGTACGGTACGAAATTATAATATTTTTTATAACAAATGGCATTCATGTCCAATGAAGTGAAAGCTTACCTTTAACCTGATATTTCAGTGCAAAATCAACGCATGGAGAAAACTTAAAGGTTAACATTTTTTATAAAGCCTATGAATTGATATTCCTTAACTAAATTTAAGCAAGTATAGATGTTGCCTAAAGATTGTCTTCTCAAGTTATACTCCTCTTATTTGTCTATATAGAAAGATATGAACCAAAGATCATATTTTGTCCTAATTTCTCCAAAATTTTAATATGCTTTTCATAAACCTTTTGTGATTATTTCACTAGCCACTAACACATTTCCCTTGTTGGCCACCAATATAGACATGGTTGCTTCTGTATGTCATGTTTCTCCATCAAATGTGGTTAATTTTCCAACTACAACTTTATATAATCTCAATTTAAAAACACTCGTGTAAGATAATTAACCATATCAAAATATTTTCTCCATTTAATTCAAGATAAGATAGTTACTAGGGTTTCTTGGCAAAGAATGTCTTTAATTAGGCTGGAATGAAAAATTTGACGGGGATTTGTGGGTGACATCAAATAATTCACAATATTTCCTAGAAGACATCCAGAGAAGGAGCTATAGGTCGGCACAAATATGATTCGAATATACATCAATTCTTGAGCTCCACAGTTATCCATTAGATTCAAGTTTTCATTTTGTAACTGCATCCAGTTTCTGAAAAAGTCCCATTGTTTTGGACTTTCCAACTTCAACAAGGTTACCTGTAGTAAACCCATCAAAATTGGACCTTGCCCAGTGGCTCTGGAAGTCCAACCAAGACAAAAAGACTAGAATTACATGAAAGATAATCTTATACTTTTCGAAGTCATTGAGTTGTGGGCCACAATACAGACTCCTGAATACATTATTTCAATAAAGATGTCAAAAAGTAAGCACAAGCTACAGGTCATCCTCAATTGTGAATTGTTACCCTTATGCTAACTTTTTTGTCAGAAAGAGACATGTACAGATAACAAACCAGGACCTGCATTGCTTTCAGATAACATATAAGCCTTGATCATCAGCATTAATATGACTTTACATGGATTAATGGTTCTTTATTATGACCTCAATATGCATTTCAATAGAATGCAGATAAAGTGGAGTTACCTTCATTTCGGAACTTGAATAAAATGAGTGTGATTCCAAGGGGGGCTTGAAAGCAAATGCTTCAGGAACATCTTCAAGTAGGTCATCACATTTAATAGAAGCTGCTGAGACTGACACTGACAGTGGGCCTGTGTTATTGTTCCGAGCAAAAAGAAACTTGCCTGTGGTGGGAGATGGTTGAGCCTAAAGAAATTGATCAATAAAAATAGGTTGGGCATTATCATATAAAGATATTCAGATGATAATAAGTGACTATATTACCCTTTTTTTCAATTTAATGATTAAATATCTAACTGGCTTTCAAAAGTAAATTTACATTCATGGCACCATATTTCATCCTCAATGACATAAGATATTCTGGAATTTCTGCAACTAATCACAAAGATTGAATTTGTTTCTGGAGTTTAGTCAAGTATAATATAAACATAACTATCTTGAAAAAGTCTTGAATTGGCTACCTTCATGATGCACATCCCACAGCCATCTCGATCCCCTGTCATTGTGTTATGCTTGGCATGCCATGGTAGTATGTGGTACATTCTCAGAAGGTGAAAAAATAAGTAAAATAAAACTAAACTAAAACACCAAGAAGGTAGGTCTATGTTCCCTGAAATTCCCAAAACATTTAAGGATATTTGTTCCATGTTATCATAGCCAAGAAACTCAAATAGTCTAGGTTTATGCCAAAGGCAATGCAAAAAGCCTCCTTGTTCAATAGAACTTTGGGTCTTCAACCTAGGATGTTGCAAAACTTGCTAACACATTGACAGCACAATAAGCAAAAAAAACCAACATCCGAAGCATAATATCCTAAAATGCAGCTACTTGTTTACTTCTGAATCATATCTTGTGAAAAGCCTACTGTTACACAAACTGATAATTTTCGGTAAGAAGTCATACCAAAGAATTACAGAGAAAAACCGGAGACTCCAACAATGTTGTAGGGCTTAGACCCGGTGGAATTGTCAGATATGGAGACCGGACACCTGAGGATGATGCATCCATGTTAGCTTGTCCGATGCAAGCAGTATTGAGCTTCGGCACATTAAACCCACTAGCAGCCATCCTCTCAGCAAGTCCTCCATGCGAGTTCAATTTATGAGCTCCAGACCAATTTGGTTCCAGCGGGTGATCATTTGATGCCTCACCCCCCTCCACTTTTGTAACCCTATCCACCTTTTCCGTCTCCGGTGCATTTGGAGGCGTCTCATTTTCCTTCCCTGATAACAAATCCGAGAATGATCTGGAACCGAACTCCTCATTCAAAAGGTTTGAGATTAAGGTTCTTGGGCTGGGATTCGGAAGCGTCCAGTCCTCCATCATGGCGGTCTTGTCGTCCATCCCACCAGTGATCGATTCAATTCTGCTCCCGATACAGATAGTAAGTCCTGTCAGATCTGCAAAGACAAACCACGGAAGGTCCAATAAAGTTGAAACCAAATCGCAGAAGATTGTTTCAATGCGCAAGCAACGATCAATGCCCACCTTGGGTTCCACCTCAGATCAAAATCCGATTTTGAAGATTCCTCAAGAATCCCACGAAGGACAAACGATGATCAACCCAAAAGTTCAAACTACCAAAAATTACATGTACGACATGATCAACCCAGCGAGCCAGATCTTCCAAAAATCCGGAGAATATATCAAAGTAAAGGTCAATTAGAACACAAAAGAACCCTAAAGGGCCAAGACCATACGAGTCGAAGATGGTAGCAGCAGAAAAGTTCCGAACTTTGAGGGAAATGGAGCAAATCCGAATCAATCACCGCATGACGCTATCAGAAGAGAGGGGGAAATGCCATTTTCACTAGAAAAACAGCAACCCGAGCAAACGGGATGAACCCAACCACATCAACACGGGGAGGTACAGAAGGCGTCGGAACCAACCATCGACGGCCACTCCTCTGAGCTCGGTCAGTCTCTTAAATCCACAGAAACAGAAGAAGAGAAGCAGCAGAGAGGGGACAAAGACCTGACACAAAACATGAGATCTTTCCTTCTTCCGTCCTTTCTTCTGTTGGGAAATCAAAAAATTCCTGCAGCAATCTCTTCTTTTTACTTCTTCTAGAACGGACACAAAGAGATACCCAGCCCCAGAGAGCGGTTTGACCGAGATAGAGACGAGAAATAGGAAGGATTCGAGAGAGTGAGAGAGAGAGAGAAGCATTCAGTGGCGAGCTCGTTCTTATCCTCCTCCTCCGCCCTATCTTTTCTGCTGCTCCCTCCCCCTTCTTGTTTCCCGTTTTCCTGTTGCTTTTTCGTCTAATTTCATATGCTTGTCTTTTTCTCTCACTTCATATCCTTGCGAGGGGCATATATGAAAGTTTCGGGTCGACAGGGGTGTATATTGGATTATGTCAAAAGGCAAAGGTGGATATGGCTACTGTGATTGAGGGTATGGATAAAGTTTTCGACTTTATTAGGGGGTTAAGTATAAATTACACTACGCTTTGGGATTTGTGCGGGTCGTGATTTTTTATTCGATGATGGGAGGTGGGAAGGGCGTCGGGAACGGAGCCGTGCATGTGGAGGCGATGCCACGTGGTCGAGCAACAGCCGTCCATCCGTCGAAGGAGAGGGGAACGGATCCATAGGATCTCATGACCGAGACAGGATCCAGGTTTCGCTACACGCCTGTTGGCACTCGCGATACCATTGCAGAGGAAAGCCTGTTCCCTGTTGGATGCACGCAACAGCAAATCCCCACGCGGTCCATTTCAATCGATGAAGAACAGATGACGAGCGTGTCTTCGACCCATTGACCGGTTTTGTTTTGGGGTTGCGAAGGTTGCTTCGTCACAAAGCTTACGTGTTTTAAGCTGCAAACTCGCTCGCCGACGATCGACCCAACTGTCGCGTCTCAATCATGATATGGAATTAACGAACAGTGGAGGCATCATTATCTCGACCCCAGCACAGCGAATCTTGATCCTGTGGACGATGCCCATGTGCTCATGTCATCAAATTCCACGACACCATCTCATGTCATCATCTCATGCCCTCACTAACTCACGAACTCGACCGCGGTTCGGTTCGAAACAAGAACCGGACCGTCTCAAAACCAAAATTCGAACCAATCAAAATTGATTCGGTTTGAGACAAAGAACCAAACCAAAATTCAAACCAGCATCGTTACGGTTCGATTCGATTCGATTCCGGTTCCACCCCCTTGGAACCAACTCTAGTTTGATTCCTAACATACTAACAAATATTAAATGTTAAATATTAATACAAAAATGAAAAATTATGAGAAGGACAGAAACAAAGGAGAGGAGAAGAAGTGCACTGCACAAAGACAAGAACAGTCAGTGGGGGAGCTAAGAGAAGAAACAAACCATACTTGATTAACAACTCAGAACTTACAGGGCACAACTTCCATAGGACAACAAAAGAAATCCACTCATTGTTCTTGAAACTAATATATGACATTCTTCCAAGAGATCATGCCATTTATTTGGTGGGATGATGATGGCAGCATTTCTCTTGCCATGTATAAAAAGACATCTGATACTTTTTTAAGTAGCTCACATGTGCCATATGCATTCAGTATTAATCTCCAGAATGTAATACAATGTATGCTAATGTCTTCTGATGGAAAATATGTTTACAAACTATACCACAAATAGACACCATCTTATAGGAGATATTACATGTCGTCGATAAACTGGCCCAAAAAATATGAAATCCTATCCCTTCAATTATTTGAACAAATTGTCAAAGAATAACTACTGTAGGAACAAAACACATTGAAGCAATTTGTTGACCGTCCTTCATCCTTATCACCCAAATAATATATGGAAAAAAAGAATGACACCTGTATTCTACTGTAGATGTAATTTTTCTCAACAAAAACAAGGAGGCATCCTACTATATGGCAGCACAAATGTATAAAATATTTTCTAATGAAACTTCCATAAGCATGTTTTCCTCTTTTGCTTGATAATTCATTCAGTGAACTAGATCTCCGGGTCATCCCCCAATAGTCGAATTGCCATTTTCTGACTGGGATGTATCTGAAGCAGCATCATCGATTGCCAAGTCGGAAATGCTCTCTGCAACAGCACTTCCATCTCCGTCAGATGGAGCTGTCTGTGATACAGAATCCTCTTCTGATGGTTCAAAGTTTTCTCCAGTTTGCTGCAGACTCCAATACATGATACTGGCAGTAAGAGTAAGAATCATCTTCTGGTTTACCTGTCATAAGGACACAACATAAATGTTCAGCATGTGGATAAGATTATTTAGAAAACTGCATATCCTTGGTTCTAAATGAGAGGAAAACAGTAATCCAAATAATAATTGAAATCAACAATTATTGGAATGTAACATAACTACAAGTGGCCTGTTATGGTCCTTAACGAGAGACACATAACTACCACCGACACATTATGCAATTTGCTTCTGATCATTTACTGGAATTTGCATGTAAAGCCATACTAGTGAACATGTATCACTGGAAAATTGAAGTTATACTATTTCTACCTCTATGATATCCTCAGGCAACAAAAAGACAGAGCAGCCAAGCTTTCTCGCAACAGTGATGATATATGTGGCATTCAACTTCTTCTCTTCATCTGCATCCATTTAATGTTATATAGTAAGCTAGTCAGGATATGGGCAGCTGGAACTGCAAAATTTAAGGGTAAAAAAATATTCCAATTATGTACTCTTTTTTCCTCTCATATTCACTCACCACACAAGATGAATACAAATTCCTTTTGCAGATAAAAAGAAAATATTGGATAATTATTTGACTAAAGAGCATACCACTTTCACCCGTTGTAACAAGCTTCCAATTTACAGTCCTTGGTTTTACAGCACTAAGAAGCTCGAGTAAAAATATTCCATATGACAAGTTCTTATCCTGTAAGGGCAAAACAAAATAATTTGGAGAACATGAGAATTTGACTGCTGAATTAGTAGAGATGGGGTGAGCATACCTTGAAACTCTCCATTTGAGGTGTTCTGGCTGAACCCTTCACCTTGCTATTGGCCCAATTTAGAATATCAACATCTGATATCTCTTTTCCTTGGGAGTGATATCTCAAGTTCTTTAAAAGTTTAAGAATATTGAATCTCATCAACTGCCACAAATAAGCTGAAGAAATCAAGTGGTAGTTGTCATACAATGTTCATCAAATATTCAGTATCTGTCTTTAAAACTCAGGAACAACAGTAATTGAAGCAAGTTAAATCAAACTAATCAAAACACATCAAAAATTTTCACACAACATAATTGGTTATCTGAGAGTTGGAAAATGTTTCCCATATAAACAATTGATACTACTAGATGAATATGGTTCATTATAGTTTAAGAACCAGCATATACCACTTCCATGGAGCTATTTGACAGCAATTTAAAAGTAAAAAACCAACTTGAAAGCAAATGCAACAAATGGCATGCCAAAAACCTACCTGAGAGGCGATGAAACCTAAATAAGACAATTGACTGATGAAATATTATGATAGCTGCTTTATTTGAGACAACATATAATGGCAATGATTTACTTTGAAAAAAGGTCATATGGATGTCAAGATAAGCTCAGCAAGATTTAACTAATCAGAATGCAGCATGAACAATACTTGAATATAAAAATCTCATGTTCCATGTCTATGACGTATAAGCATGTTCAGTATATGGCCATATTAGGCTAGCATACCTGAAATGAAAATCTCTACATGATAACCTATTTATTGCATTCTCATCTAGCTCATATACATCAGTTTTAAATATTCTCAAGTTTACAAGATACAAAAAACTTATATAGCAATTCAAGTGACTTCACAATTAAGAGAAACAAGAATTAAATCCTTTAATCAGTCATCTTAGTTAGGCTTCCTAGTACAGCATGCTAAAGAGAACTGTTGATCTGTGCAGCCAAAATTCAAAAACAAAGAATTCATTGCTGATAGAAAAATCTATTCCACCATCACCAGAAAATTTCCCATTGATAAGGAAATACGTCAGTCCATATTGGACTACTAAAGTTCAAGTATTTACAAGTATTTGCATGAGTTTTTATGTGCTTGTCATATGTGCAAAACAACAAGGTTGTCAAGAAGGAATATTTACTCAGTAGTTCTTTAAAGGTGTTGTAGTTCGGTAAAGGCGTGACAATTATCCAGAAATATAATATGAACAGGGGCAAAATCAGAAGTAATACTAATGTTACAGATGAAAATTTAGATATGAATTTCAGTAAAGGTGCAAAGGCACAAAGGACAATCCAAAAGATACTAAAGTGAAACAAACTCACCAAGAATGAGCTTCTTATTTCCTTGGACAATGTCATTGCCAGCAACATTTATAAGCGAAAAATTCAACTCCTTGCCAATCTTTATAATTTGGTTGCAATTTTCCACTTTTCTAAATGGCATCTTAATTGGAGGTTTAGTTGCATGCTTCCAGTTAACTAATCCAGGAGACACTTTGTCAAGTACTTCTAAAAGAACCCATCTGCATATATCATTGTTATCATTTCAGAAGCTTAAAAGATAAGCCATTTCATCAATTAAAAATGTTCTTACCCGTTCCTGACATCCTCAAACAAATTATTAACATATGTAGCAATTCCAAGACTGTTAATCCATAACCGAAAGGCTCTCTCATCTCTGGATACTTGGATATCATCCGGCATCATTTGAGATAGGGAAATCGACTTAGTGTCAGTGGATAGACCATTCCTGCACACATTACATGATCAGGATACTATAACTAACCTACATCAAAGAAATAAACAGAATAACTCAATAGATGGAACAAAAAATATAGCTGAAAGAAATTTGTATGTTGAGCAGTTATCATCTTTAGCGGTCAAGTTTAAGTAGTTCAGGCAAATAATAAAGAGACATGTTCTACAAGACTTCATTCAATCTGAATTTGGCAAACAATGATTATTTGGTGATGATTTTACGGTGTGACACAAAGAAAGGAATACACTAACATTGTGTCTCTTCTGATATTAAACATAGATATGATTAAGAAAGGAAAGACTCATACAACGCAAATTTCAAAAGATTTTACAACTTAACTGAGATACATTCTTTTGAAGAACATGATTGCATATAAGAACTGAAAATAGAGGATTTTTACAGTCTACAACCTAATCCAAGAAAATTAATGATTGCAGGGTTATACGCCATAAGCATTGTAATTACAACCAACAAGATGGATGTTAGGAGGCAAACAAAGACAGATTCCAGAATGCAACCCACTTTGCTGGCCGCACATTCTTTAAAAGCATTTCACATTCTCA